GCTGCCGATTGCCAACCAAAATAAGAGGTGCACATCTACATGTTATAGCAGTCCTATATACAAAATTTCAACGTTCTGAGGTTACTCGTTTTTGAGTTATACGGGATACGTACGTACGTTCGTACAGACGCCACGAAAAGTTCTCTTCAGAATTAATTTTAAAGCAGTTTTATAATTTTTTTTTGAGGAAACGAGTCTTTTATTCTGTCCTTATGTACAGATATGACGCAAAAGCATCGTCAAAATGGATATTTTCATTGAAATATGCTGCCTGAAACTTTTCGCGATTACAATACTTCCTTTTTACTTCGTACAAGGAAGTAAAAAGACAGCGGCTGAGAAAATTGTCTCTCGTACTATAATTGTTGTTCTGGTCGTTATTAAGAAACTATGTTATATTTTAATGCGTTTTCACTTATTTTTTCCCTATTAAAAATACTCTAGTTCTTTTTAAAACTTTATTAATTTATTTATTATAGTAGATTCCTTGTGGGATAAAGTAGATTTAGTCTATGTTAGGGATTGCAGTTTCCTTTATTGATAACACATCAGTAGATATTGATAGACAGAGAATTGTTACATGCTATGCTTGTAATCCTGTGTCATCTATTTTATTCTTATATATGTGTTCAACTCCATTTTTTTCTTTAGAATTGTGCCATTACTGAATTTACTGTAAATTTCTTATCTCCATAATTCCAATTTTTGAGGCTTTTTATTGGTTGAAAATTAACATCATATTAGAAAAATATATATGTTTATTTCATGTAGAATTATATCAGATTTTAAGTTTATACAAGTTTTTCTGATGCAGTAGCAGTGGAATCAAAAAGATATACTATGTGGTTTATAATGATGTCTGTTATTTACTGAATGACTAGTAAAATAATGTTGGCTTACTGGTAAAAATTTGGGGTTATATTTTTAGAATTACCAGCATTACAATCTGTAATGAACCCATTATGCACAATTGCACCATTTGATTCAATAGCAAATATATGTCATTTGCAAATGTATGTAGTTTATACAACAGTAATCATTTTCTAAAAATGTATATTATATTATTACTACTAATAATAAGAATAATAATATTAATAGTGTGTACGTATTATTAATTTTATTTTTTAAAAAATATCTTTATTTAAGTTTAGAAATTGGGAATAGGCTATGCTTTCTTTTTTATACAATTAAATTTTCTTTTGATTTTAACATTTATAAAAAAGGGCAAGATTAATTTTTTGAGCCTAATAAATAAAATATAATAAGATTGTTTTATTTTAGTCAGGGCTGGCAAGTTTTGTTAATGTAGTTAAAACTAGTATGACATCAACTAATTTCTACTGTAAAAATTATAATAACTAGCAGAAACTTATAAAATTTCTAAAACTTTATTGAAGTATAACAAGCTGCAAAGGCGATTATATTCTAAAATTAAATATCTTGTGTTTGTCATATATAATGCTAAAATTATATTTTAAAAACATTGGGTTTACAAGTAATAGCAGATTCACTTTTCAAAATCATCTCAACCTTTTAATGAAATACTCTGTAACAGAAGATCAGTTTTGCTGTTATTTCAAAATGCTGAAGGATATTATTTCAAGCCTATCAGTATTTTTAGGAAAAGCCATCACTGTGCGAAGAGTTATGAAGTCTTCATTTGCAGTAGTTTTCTTTTTACAACTTTGACTTACAAACTTTGACTTCTATTTAAAGCCATTACAGGCCAATTAAAGTAATAATTGTATTTTTGTAATTAATATGTATTAATGTATGTGAAATTTTGTACAAATTAAAGACAATTTAATAAATTAGCAAATATTACTATTTAAAGCAACATTTTAAATACATTAACAAAAGCAACATTTGAATATTTCTGCCATTTCAGTTAGTCACAAGTAGCTCCTGCATCAGCAAATCAGAAACTGGTCTTTCTAGCAGAAAACCAGCCCTAGTTTAGTTGAAATAAAAATGTGTTAGTACATATATGTTTAGGCAAATAAAAAATAATTTCATCATTTAATTTTATCCAAATAGCATTTAATATTTTGTATAGGGGGAAATAAAGTTATTTATTCTTAAACATTAAAAACAAAGATTTAAGTTTTGTTGATATAAAATAAGATAAATGAAAAAAAGCTCCATCTCTTACATTACAGTAAATGTATATTTGAGCTAGAGAAAAAAGGGCTACTCAATTATCTAAATTTACTTATTTTGGCCCACATTCTCAGATATTCCATATATTTTGAGTTCTATTCTATTAATTATCATTCTGCTGTTATTCTGTATCTTAAAAAGAAATTTTTTTCTATATATTTATTTCTTAATGACAGTTTGATATTTAATGAAAAAAATTGTTTTGTTCAGCTTCATGTAAGTAATAACAAACAAAAGATATTTTTAATGATATATTTTCTGTATTATTGATTAAATAACAAAATGATATTAGTATATCCCTTTTTAACTTTTCATATTCAGTAATAATAGTACTTGCTTTCGCAATAATCATTTATTTATTGATTTGGTCATTGTAATTTTTGAAGACCGAAAATTTTTATCAAGTATATTTCCATGAATATGGGATGGTGGGTGCCAATATTAAGAGGCAAAATGAATGCCAGTATTAAGAAGCTTATTCATAATATTACTGCAATTTTTTAGCGGTATTTATGAGTATATAGAAGCTTCAAATAAATTTTTTTGTGTTCCTTTTATATTTTTACTCCCTTGTACGAAGTAAAAAGGAAGTATTGTAATCACGAAAAGATTCAGGCAGCATATTTCAACGAAAATATCCATTTTGACTGCTATCAAATGCAATTTAACGATGTTTTTGCATGATATTTGTACGTAAGGACAGAATTAAATACTCTTTTCCTTCAAAAAGATTATAAAACTGCTTTAAAATAAATTCTGAACACAATTTTTCGTGGCGTCTGTACGAACGTAGTATCTTGCATAACTCAAAAATGAGTAGCCTCAGATTGTTGAAATTTTGTATATAGGACTGCTATACCATAGATGTGCACCTCGTATTTTGGTTCAATCGACCGCTCCAAATGTATATAATAATTATATATCTACCACTCTGTACTCGCTCATGATCTCAGTCTCTTTACTCTTTAATGTTTGTAAATTGTACATTTTTGCTTAAAAAATGATGAATATGTTGTTCTATCTTTGGTAGGTTTTATGCTTTGGTAAATCTGTATTCTATTTTTGATTATCACATTTTATGTTTTTAAGTGCCGCTAACCTAATATTATTTGAGCGGCCATTGCTTGTTTTTGAAACATTTGAAATACAGATAGTGAATTTTTTGCAGTCTAATAAACTACTTCGCAACAACACGTAGCCTTCATTTATTATTGCCAATTTAAATCATGCTTAATCTTTCTGGAATTTTTTTCGAAATAAGTTTTTAAGATTTACTTCGTAATTTTTAATAGATATTTTAATTTTTGTGTGTATTTTGCCGTCTTCGAATGAGATTGAATTAATTGAATGAGAATACTCAATCGTCTGTGCAAAACTGTTTTTTTTTTTGGTTTTGTATAATTTCGTTTAGACCCGTTCTCAGCTTTATTAGTATTTGAATAGAACATGTGGCAATGATTAGATAATTCTTTAATGATATAAATTTTGTGCATTCTGATTATGAACGAATATAATACTGTTAAGTGAAACTCGCCAGAGTGTCGCTATGGTAAACAAAGAGTCAATTTTAAAAGATGCTTTATTCTATTGTGGTTTATGCGCTGTCAGCGAAATAGATTTAATTCAATCCAATAAGTTAAAATGAAATGCAAGAAAAAATGCGTATAATTTAATATTTCGTATAAGAAGTCGTGTTGTACACATCAGATTTTTTAGTTTCTGTGATTCTTTATTGAAAATGTTTTTATCTTCATTGTTATGTAATGTGTAATTGACCATTTTCAAGAAACAAATTCTGTCATAATACAATATGAGTTAGCTCCTGTAATAGATAAACAGGATGTTACAATGCACTCATAAGATTATTTGGTCAGATTTTATGTAACTCTGAAATTGTGGAACTGAAGGTTTATGGAAGCAATCTTGGATAAGCTACTTCAGTTTTGTAAAGAAGGGTATAAATTAACTGTTGTGTCCCGTTTTCCCTCACATTTAAAAAAAAAAAAAAAAAAAATTTGAAAAAAAAAAATTAAATTTTTCTTTGATAGAAATTTGAGACCTGTATTCTATAAAGCAGCATGAAATGAAATATTTTCATACTGTTTCATAATTATATAATCCGAGTTATCCGTACCTTCAAAACTTCTGTTGGATTGACTGGCTTAAGTTGATTGAGATCATCACCAAAGGTTTCATGCTTGAAAGGAAAGTGTGTGAGTATTCTAAAATAGAGATTTATGTAAAGATATTGTAATGGGAATGTTGTTATAATACCCAACAATGTTTTGCGAATGCTATGAAATTTAAAAAAAAAAAAAAAAAATCAAATTATCTTATAGTGATTTATTAATATGCAAAGGTTCATATCATAAGTTCTCAGGAAAAAAAGTGGAAGAATCACAGAAATCATAGAAAAATGTGTAATACCTTAAAAAAGGTGCAATGAAATTTATGGTAGAAATACTTATGAAGCCAGTTAAAATCTAACATTCTGATAGGTTAGTATATGTAGTGTTAATTATGAATTTCAGGTCACTGATACTAATATGTACTTTTATTTTATGCATCTGCTATTTTTTTACTGTGTTGAATTTTTGAAAAATTTTTCTTGGAAGAAAAGATCTTTAGAAACTGAACTAAAACGTGTTTTTTGAAAAATATTTTAACAAATTTATTATGTGCAGGGTAGAGTTATGTCTCTTTTCTGCCTATTTCATTTGAATAATAGCAGCCATAATTGAAAGGTCACAATAGAATGTAGTATAAGTGTGGATATTATCCCAGCTTTTTTGTACCATAAATAAAATTTTCTGATTTTGTTGTTATCACTTCTTTTATTACCGTGTATCTATTATAATTAGGCGGTGCCAGCTCCCTTGGAAGACAGTGCATTGATTTAACTGCAACTAGTATATCAAGTCATAGATTTGAAACTGCTGCTAAGCTTTTATGGATTGTTTCCCAAGATAAGTGTACTTTTGAAACATTTATATACAGAGTAAGTGTATTTTTAACATATATTGTCAAATGTGTGTAAAGAACATCTATCTGAATTGCTGAGCATATAATTTTCCCTTGCTTCTTCACAAAACCAGTAATTTAAATACAGTAGACATCCTCTTAACTGGCTATCGCCATATCTGACCCAGAAACACTAAGTCGTACATATTTACAGTAACATTAAATTTTTTCAATTTAAAAAATTATAAATTGCTTTTTTAAAAGGACATATTCAAAAGAAAAAAATTCTTGAAAAAATAAATATTATTCATTTGCTTTTAAAATGAAATTCTTTAAAAGTAAAACCATGCCGTTTCTCCATGAACATCATACCAACTGCAGTGAATTCTTTCTGCTGTATGATGTTGCCAGCTCCAGTACTGTCCCCCACAGCATGAATTATTTTATAATTTTGTTTTATTTCTGGATGCCTTCTTAACTGCTTAATAACTTCCTGAATGATTTCATCATAATTTAAGAATTAATTTTTAAGCTTCTCATCAGCAGTTATCCACTCAATCTGTGCATATATTTGCATTGTTGCCAAAAATCAGAAGTTTCTAAATTACCTGTTGAAAAAGCTATGAAGAAAATATGCATGTAAATATACTAATTATGAAAGCATTATTGATATAATCTGCAAGAGAAAAAATATTAGCTATATGTATATGTATATAATAAACTTATATAAATTTAAAATTTAAATTTAAATTTAACAAACATTATAAACGTAAAAAGCAAATTTAAAGCCAAAAAATTTTAAAAAATATTTAAAAAAAACGTGTTAACTTATAAAAGATTTAATTCTCGAACTAATCTACAATATCATTTAAATTCAGATGCATAAGCAAATCAAGTGCAAAAACAATCAATGAAAATAAATTCACTAATTTAGCAAATTAAAATTAATCCAACAATTTTTTAAAAATGCATAAGTGAATGACTGTTTGAGCAGGCAGGAGACAGACTTATCAAGGGGAAGTTGCTCCAAACCTAATCTCCAATCATTCAATTCATGTTTCGTCCTCATGCAGCAGGGTTAAAGTCAAAACCAAAGTAAAACGTGAAGAATGTCCAAAAAGACCAATAAAGTGGTACCCTAGAAATTAGCATTTAAGAATTAAAGTTCTAAAGGAAAATCTAATGAAGTCTTTGAGAAACAAGCAAGTAAAGTTATGTATTAATTTAAAAAAAATTAATTTTTAAAAAAATCTAGAAACCAATGTATTTTTAGAAACCCTTGTCTACAGAAACCTCCCCGACACGATATGCATATCAATAAAAAAAACTAAAAAAGAACTAATAAACTAATAAGAAACAAAGACTATTCACAATTTTTAAACACAAATGTATACTTAAAATATAATTTCATATCTAGAAAATACTACATAAAAATTAAAAAAAAAAAAAAAATACTTAAGCAGAGTAAATAGTAAGTTTTAATTCTAATTACCTACTATATGAGCGTTGGGGTCTGCAAAGGTTTTTAAAGAGAGTAAGTGTGTTCTTCAATTAATTATATAGATGGCTTATGTAGGTAAAGTAGTGCCAAGCTGCTATCTTTTTTGTATTAAATTTTTTTTTGCAAAAATTAATTAAAATAAATCTAGAAAAATTAATATTAAAAATCCTTATTATTAAGTTATGTAAGTTTTAATTTTAACGATCAATTTAGGGAGTTATGCCAATCAGTTGCTGAAGTAAATAGTAAGTGTATGTGAATTAAGAAATGTAAACTGTTTGTAATGTGAAATGTGTATTCTGTTTGAAAAATTGTGTAAATATTTAATGCAAATAATTAAAGTAATGAAGTAAAAATAAAATGTTTTAAAATTTAAGTTTTAAAGCAAAATTTAAAATGTCTAAAAATTTTCCAAAATTTTTTGAAACAAAGTCCTTAAAAAAACCTCTAAAAAATTCCCAGAAAATTCTCAAAAATTCCTTAAAGAAGTTAAATTTAATGAAAGAAAACATTGATTTCAACTGGTATATCAAAACTTAACTAAATACTGGCTAAAGTATGGAAAATTAGAAGAAGAAGATTAAAATCTTCACTCAATTCGGGCTATAATTGAACTTTTGAAAAGAGTTGGCCCTTATTAGTAAAAGGAACGAATCCAGTATTGATTAAATATCATATTTACAAATTTATTTACAATAAAAATTACAAAAATTTCTTTACTCTTCTATATCTTTCATTACCCTCCAGCTAAGGTTTAAGGTAATGTTATCATATCAAAAAGAGCCAAAAATTATAAAGTACGTTAATGCCTGCCTTTTTAAAATATAAATTAATAAATTTTGGTGGTACTTTTTTATCAACTGAACATTATTTCTTTCTTCCTTTAAATCGCTGTTTCGTACATATAATTTTTTTATTCTGATTATTTGGCTATGAAACGTGTTTTTCTATTACTTTTCTAGAGATTTAGAGTTCCAATTAATTAGTTTAATAGTATGAAAATGGAAATTCCTTCTTTTATCATATAATTTAATTTTGCTGGGTTTAATTGCAGGTCTAGGTATTCAATAGAATCTTGATTCGTATTCATTTATTAAGTGTTAAACTATTTGGGTAAATTTTGAATGCCAAAAGTAGAATTATTATTGAAGTTAAATCATCTAGTATCTAAAGTATGAGCAAATAGCTTTAATCATTTTTTATTTAAACTTAGTTGAAATCTATATTCAAAGTAAAAAGAAATAGGTCACAAATTTGTGTAGAACTGTTTGCTCCCATAGGAATTCCTCTAACTTGCTGAAAGATCTTATTATTGAATTTACTGTCGTTATTAAATAATGCACAATTCAGATTTTCTATCTTCAATACAAAGGATGTCAAGTAGTCAGGAAAAGTTTGGGGTTGTATTAAACTAGTAAAAATTTCTTCTAATGGTAGATAAGTTAAAGGTTTTCAAAGTCATAGCAGTTAATTTTTTGATGTTAAATTTTTAAAACTGCTGAGAACTGGAGCATTATTATAAATATCCAACTATAATTATGTTGTTGTTAATGATTGTTGGATTAAATTACGATTTTTTTAAGTATAATTGTAAATATGTAATCTATATTATTTTTATAATTATTTGTACCATTAGCAATAAATCTAAATTTGAGTGGTGATTTATGAAATTCTGGGAGAGCATATAGATTTGCTAATCTATTGTAGCTAGATGGTTGTGAAATTTGCAGTTTCTTATGAAATGTTTTAAGCTTTTTTGCAATAACATTTTCTTGTATATTGATAAGTTTGTAAGTAATGGTATTATTTAGTTCAGTATTAATTAATGAGACAAAAAAAATTTTCATATTGTGCTAAAAGAAATGTGCTAAAATAAAAATGCTAAAATTATGCTAAAATATAAATATATTATAATTATCTAAAAAAAAAAAAAAAAAAAAAAAAAAAAAAAAGCTAAAATTATGCTAAAATAAAAATTTTCATTTTATGCTAATATTTCATATTATGCTAAAATAATAAACTTATATATATATAAGTAATAATTTACATACAGTCAAAAGTCGTTAATTCGGACCTCAAAGCTAAAATCTTTCTGCGCATGCGCCGCGTTGACACATGCGCATAGGCGTTTACGTGTGCGCGCAAGACCTTTACGACTGTGCATATGCGTGTGCGCAAGCGCAGAATACGTTTTCGTGTGCACGTTTAATGTATAACGGAAGGTATAAGCTAAAATTATCTAATTATCTATTTCAGTTAATGTTAATGATTGCGTTGTTCCTTAATCTTCGAATCGGATCCAGCTTTTTATTTTTTGCAGACTGTAAGAGCAATTTTATAAAAGTAAGCTTGAACTTTCGATTATGTCAAATAGAATTTCCCGATCTGGAGCCCCAAAGGATCTACAAACGAAGTATGTTTCGATGTCCATCAAACAAAAAGTGGAATTGCTACAAAAAATGGATAAAGGCATATCCTTTGTTTATCTAACTGTTCCGAAATCTGTTTATCAATTTCACGCAGCTCTGCGCGCGGGGGGAGGGGGGACGTCGCGCCACGCAATGAAATGGAAGTTGATCTGTCAGCACTATCGTTATCTTCAGGGCAGTTGTTTTTATTTTATTCGGCTTTTAATTCCTTACTAAATGTAGTATTTCCTCCTCCTTGATATGATTTAAATAAAATTCCTCATCATTATAAATATCACGAATACACATCAAATAGTTTTCTGGTTGCAATTTTCTAATTTCGACTATGCGTAATGTATGCTTTACGCATGTGCGCGTTGATAGAAATGTTTAATAAAGTAAACAAATAAATATTAAGCTTCTTTTTTTTTTGTAAATTTTGATACCCTTTAGATCATAATTGCTCATTATTTTATAAATTATGGTTTCATATTTTTAATTTTATAATTTCTGCATGCCATCTTACCAGATTTAAACTGATGATCTATAATCCGGAAAAATCGATAATCTGGAATCGCCGAAGTCCCGACTAAAGACTTTTGACTGTATATATATATAAACTTAAAGCATCTAAAGTTAATATTAAATTGGATTCAAAGCAAGGCTTCCTCAACAATATTAATAATTGCAACCGTGCATAAGAGTGCTTTTATTAAAAAAATGGGGCTTCTAGTTCCAAAGACATATTTTACCCTGATTACGTGAAGACTTTTATCTTTTATAACCTATATTTTTTTTTTTCCTCAATTTTGAGCTAGTTCTGTTTTTACATTTTAAGATTCTACAGAGGACAGCATCTTTTAGAAGTTTCTTACACCACCATTTTGGAGTTGACAATCACTCTTCTCGACGGTAATAATTTTTACAGTCAACACCCAACGTTTGGCAGCGCCGCACGTAAAGTTTAACAGGATAAGACGTTTTGAATACATGTTAAAATACTTAGTTCTGCTGTTGGACACTTATTGCATACTTTTTCCAAGAGCTACAAAATTTTTGCTTCTCCAGACAGCTTTGAATTCTACTTTCTTTTGTAAGAAACACAGTTTGGTTGTCATAAGAATTTAGTTAGTTCACAGTAAAAAGGCTTTCTTAAGAATTCAGTAAGTTTTCTTCTTTTCAGTTTTTGTTTCAAATAGGTTTTCAGTTTTTAGCTGTTTAAAGAGCCATTCCCATTGGGATTTATCTTAGCTAACAGAGTCAGTTCCATGTGTCGACTAGCTTTGCTATGCCTGCAGTTCAGATTTCTCAACTTGTTGCCCTGTGGGAAAAAATGGTTTTGGAGACTGGTTTGGTCGGCTGCGTCAGTTGTCTCTATTAGCTCAGATGAATCCCAGTGGGAACAGCCCTTAAGGGCTCAGATTAGATTTTATTATTTATAGAAATCTATGTAAAAAGTGTTTTTTTCCTTGGTATTAAAAGTTTAGTTTAGCATAATAGGGGACCACCCAATTTTTGAATGTTGTTTAAATGGCAATATATAAGAATATTTGTTTTGCTCTTTATTTGTAGTTGCTTTTGAATTTCAGATTTGCATATAATGGTTTCAAACCATTTTTTTAATGGTCAATTTGCATAATGTAAAGTTTTATTTATTTATTTATTATTATTATTATTTTAGTAGTCAGTTTGGCACAATGTTATGTTTTATTCTTTTTTCCAAGTGTTTTGAAAGCGTGTATTTAAAATTCTGGTACATTTGAGATTCGATTTTTCGGTTTTATAGGAATTTAATGTCTTTAATGAAAGTTTAATTGAATCTTTTTGCTTTTTGATCTCAAATGAACCAGGAGAACGAAACATGTTTATGGTACATATTAATCGATTTTTATGAAGCTTTAATTCATTTTCCCCTGATGAGTTCTGAATTAGAGCTTCAGTAAAAGGAGATTAAATTTATATTTTCTTAATTTTGTATGTTTTCCCTTTCGTATTTTTCGAGTTTGTTCTACTATGAATTCTTATTTTTAAGATATTGTGTTAAACCTCTTATGCACGGTTGCGATTATTAATATTGTTGAAGAATTGCTTGATTTTGATTCCAATTTAATGTTAACTTTAGATGCTGTAAGTTTATTTTACTTCAGTCCTGCAGCTATAGCACAGGACAGGTTTAAAAAAATCTTTTTTTAATTTTAGTGTTTCTTTTTGTACTTATATATATATGTATAGTAATTTACTTGGAAATTTTTATCCAATAAACATCCAGAACTGGATATACTGATTTCTAAAACTACTCAGAGAAATGTATGGAAAATGGAAGTAAATGGGTTATTTCAGGTTTATTAGTATTCTGAGTTTAGTTTTACATCAGTTTTTTTTTTTTTTTTTTTTTTTTTTTTTTTTTTGGTAGAATCAGCAAGAATTTGATACATACATACATACATGAACACACACACATCTTTTCTCTCTATATATAATTTCCACTGTAAAGGCAAAATACAATTTAGAAACCACCAACAAGACTATATAATTACAATGTGGATTAAAAGTGCTCAGAATCCATTGCCTCAAAAATACTTTAGCTTGCCCACCATCTTGGTGTTGCCAAAAAGTGCCTCATAAGCTGACTTTAGCTGGACAATTATTATCCTATATGCCCACATGTACTACCCATAGCATACCCTTGAGTATATATAACATTATTTTTCTGGACCTTATTTCATAGTTTAATTATATAGCATAATGAAGAAATTCAATAATAACAATGAATTAGCTAGAATACTGAGGAATTAATTTTAATAAATGTCACTATGTTAAAAAGTATCAGTTTTTTCTAACAGAAACTATTGTTAAATCATTCTTAGTAAAATTATTACTGAATAAATTTCCTTTGATTTTGAACCATTATTTCCTAAAAGGAATGCAATTTATAAATATGTTATGCAAGGTATTTTTTTATTTTATTTCAGTTTTTAAAATATTTTATCTGAAATTATAAAAATAAACAGTGGATTTTGTTTTTAATTCATTTTAATTAAAATTTGATTTTCAAGCTAAATTTTTTATAATACACTAAACTGCTTTTTTCTTTTTTCTTTTTTTTTTTTTTTTTTCCCATAAGGCTTCAATGATTATTATTGAAAATCTTAGTTTAAGTGATGAGAATGAAACAGTATGGGACATAGTCAGGTAATTTAGCTATATTTCTTTGATTTTGTTTTCCATTTGCACCTGTGAACTGTATCAAATTACATTTTTGTTTTAAAAATAGAAATATCATAATAGAAGTTATGTGTTATGCTTTACATCATTTAATACCAAGTTTAGGACTATTATTTTTTTTTCTGTTGGTAGAATTCAAGAATTTATTTTGATTTAAATTTGAGATCCATTATTATATAGAAGAGTATTTTAAGTAATTTTAAGTATTAAAAGTAATCAATCAGAAGAATCCTCTGAAGCTTTTCTTATAACTTTCTTATCTAACATATATCATACCTAGAATATCTTAGTATAAACAGGCAATTTTCAAACTAGCCATACAAAATATATTAATTACATTTCAATAAAATACTGAAAAATGTTTTAGGTGAAGGAAATTTGGGTTAAAATTGTTATGTCAACAGAAATATAACTTATTAATATCTATGAATAAAATTTTTCATTTTCATTTTCAAAGAAGGAGGTGAATTTTTTTTTTTTAATTTGCAAAAGATGTTTGTGTATTTTTAATTAGTTTTAGATGACCTTAATTTTTAATCAAAATGTTTTGTAAAATGCATATTTAATTTTTTTCAAAGTGGTTAAATTATATTCTTTTAATTGAAGTTTACAGAAATGTTGTTTTAAAATCATTGATATATAAAGTAACAACTGCTTTTTAGTTGAAAATTTTAAAATGCAGGAGATTAAAAGTCATTGCTAACCTTGTTTCTCAAGTACAAAATTAAAGGACTGATTCTTGATTTGTAACTTGCAAATTTTAATGTTTTCCTGATCACTGAAAATCGCTGAATGGTCATTCATTATAGCTGATTTTGTTTTACCTATCTTTTATATCAATGTATTATCATGCTCTTCTTTTAGAACACAAAAGAGAATGAACATTTTGTATGTTGAATATTTTTGCTTAAACATCTGAGCTTTTATAAAATAGTGTCATTATGGAAAAGTTTCACTCATGAAAATGCCATTATGTAGTTATTAAAAAGTCTATTTTCTCTACAAATTTTCAACTTTCTAAAATCTAACATTAAATAAAATTTCTTTCTCTTTTTTCCTTCCATGTACGAAGTAAAAAGGAAATATTGTAATCATGAAAAATTTCAGGTATCATATTTTAACGAAAATATCCATCATGACCGCTATCAAATGCAATTTAACGATGTTTTTGTGTGACATCTGTACATATGCTCAGAATTAAGAACTCTTTTTATTTTTTTTTCCTCCAAAAAAATTATAAAATTCGTTTAAAATTAATTCTGCAGAGATTTTTTTGGGGGCATCTGTACATACGTATCTTGCATACCTAAAAAACGAATAGCCTCAGAATGTTGAAATTTTGTATATAGGACTGTTATAACAGGTAGATATGCGCTTCCCATTTTGGTTGCAATCAGCCGCACCAAAAATAAATATATATATCCACTCTGTTACTCAGCTCAGTGAGCTCATTTTCTTTATTCTTGTATGTTTGTAAACTGTGCATTTTTAGCTTTAAAAATGATTGAAGTATGTTCTTCTGGTTACGATTTTTATGCCTTTAGTTAACATGCATGCAGTAATTGTGGAATTATCAAAAATTTAAAAGTTAAGTGTGGCTAAGCCTAATTTTTGATTACCATGGCAGCCATGTTTATTTACATTTGAAACTTGTCAGAATAGTGGATTTGTTGCCAATTCAGAGAAACTAAGCTTCGCATCAACAAAGTAACGTCTCCTTTTATTATTGCAAATTAAATTATGCTTAATTCATTCTGAAATTATCATTTAAGTTATTAGCTTGTTTTTGCATAGAAACTATAATTTTAATTGTAAAAATTGTTCTTTTAATTGTTTTAACTGTACTTTGTGTTTTCATGTTTTTCTATATCTTTCAAATTTTAATGAAAATATTTTGAATTTTTATGTAATTTTGCTTTGCCACAAAGGGAGAACTGAATTAATTAGTAGCACATGTGCATTAGGTAAGCGGCGCTCAATCGTCTGTTTGTGAAAAACTGTTTCTTTTTTATTTGTTTAATTTCTTTCATACATTGTTTTAGATTTATTATTGTATTTTGGTAGAACTTGTGGTAATTCTTCAGGTGATATAATTTTTGAGCACTCTGAGTTATGAAAAAATGAATGAGATGTAACTCTGTTAAATGAACCTAGTACTGAAGTTTCGCTATGGTAAATTAATATAGTGAACTTTAAAGAGTGCCTTTATTCTATTGTGCTTTAGGCGCTATCCACAAAGTATATTTAATACAAAATTCATTAACTGTTAATTCAATATGTTTAAATGAAATGCAGGAAAATTGCATATAATTTAATATTCCGTACAAGGAAGTCATGTGGTGAACACATCAGTCTTTTTCTTTTTTTTTATGATAAAGATCTTTTTTAACTTTAAAATTATATTTTGTCTTACAAACTGATTCTTAGATTGTTAAATAACTAGTATATGTCTGATCTTTAGTTTAATTTATTGGAGGAAAATAAAAGCCACAATTCTTTCAGACAGTAATATTTAAAGCTCTGAGATAAATTAGGCACTATATAAAGTTCATATTTTGTAATTTATTTACTTTTTAAATTTTTTGTTGTCAGATTTTGTTCTTATTTTTGCTAGTAATAAAAATGATTTTATAAAACATTTTTTACATTTAAAATTTTATTTACTTTTTAAAATTTTGTTGTCATATTTTGTTCTTATTTTTGCTAGTAATTAAAATAATTTTATAAAACATTTTTAGCAAAGCTTTGAAGCTTCCCGGAGTTAAAAAGAAAGAAGTGAAATTAGAATACCTAATCTATGGTCTCAGGCACAACATACTTAACAGTCGAGATAGTTTGGAGGTTATTTTCTTATTATCTAATTTAAGTGATGTTTTTTATTTTACCATAATTTTTTAACTGTGTAATTGTCTGTTGGAGCAAAACTGTTGCCTTTTTTGTATTTGTACTGAAACATAGCTAATGCATTCAAAATAGAATTGAAAATTTGATTTTCAGATCATTAATATATTAATAATTTCTGACAACTTTTATGTCATTTCCTAAGACAAATGCTAACTTTTTTTGAAAGTTAATATTTATAATATAAATAAGTTGTATAAAAAATGTCTTCCTAGAATATTGAAAAAAGTCTTTAAAGTAACTGAAGTGAATAAATAAATAGTCTGAATGCTAAGGTTTAAGTGCAGTAAGCAGATGAAATTATTTTAAATAATATTATGAAATCCTATTTCCTGAAATAATTTTCAATAGTATAATTTATTGAACTGGAATGGTGTAACTTATTTTTAGATGTATAGGCTATTACAAATGATCACTGTGTTTTCGAAACATTGTATTTTCAAAAGTTTCGTGGGGGGGGGGGGGGGTCACAACATGGGTTATTTTACTGCTGCCAGAAACTGGTAACTTGGTAGCTAATTAAAATATTCAAATGTTATAGTAATTAGCATTGCTAACTAATTTTTTTAATTACTTTATTTAATAAAAAAACTATTTTTTATTTAAATATTTTAATATATAATTATAATAAAATATTTATTTTTACTTTAATCAACATGTCTTAATAATGAAAAAAAAAACAACTAAATTTATTTGTTATTCAGTTTTGTTTATTTATATCACTATATATCTACAAAAATATGTACTTTGAATTAATCTTTAACAGTAATTATGAAAGCATTAGGAAGATAGTTTTTGAGTGCAGTGCTTTGCTGTAATCTGTAATCAAACAAGCAAACAAATTTACGAAAAGTGAAAAGTAAACTGTCTCCAAAGTACACTATTTAGGTAAAGCTGTGTTATTAGAACCACTGAATCCCAAATGACTCATCTATTAGAGCTTATCTTATATACTTCAAAGATTGTTTCATGTTTACAAAACAGTTTTGTCAAAAGGAAGATTGTAATATGTTGAGATCTAAATAAAAGCCACGTGATTACATGTCAATGTAAATTTAAAATAAAACAAAACAATCTTATTTTGACATATGCTTTTAATCAAAATTTTATTCATTTTGAGGTTGATCAGTCACAAGTTCCACTTCTTCAGAGGCAAGGAATTCTTCTCCAGGAGCAAAAACTTATGCCAGGATAAAGTTGTTGTTTTGCATAATTCTAAATGTTGATGTTTGTGTTAATGTTCTTATGTTTATTTCCAGAGATGGGTGAATTTGAAGTTTTTATGGTAAAAAGACTTACTTACCAAATAACTGTGACTTGATATAATAATCTGGCTATAAGTATTTATTGTAAACAGTATTCAATAAAGATGTTGGTGAGGCCAACACATCTTCAAGTCAGAAGACATCAAAATTTCATGCTAGGTGTTTTAAAAATTTCTTCTAAATTAAGATTTACTATTTTAGTGTTAAGCTTTCAATTAGCAATATTCTTAGCCAATGGCTCTGGTGATACCTCTGCTTAAGAGGTGAGGACCAGATTCTCCATTTTCATGTTGCAGCATCTGAAAAACAGTATAGTGTTAGTAGCTGTCGCTGTCACGAAATTTTTCGAATGGTGCACTACAGAATATGAAGTTTACTGTTAGCATTGCTTGTTGATTTTTTTGGTTACTTATGAATTTTTGTCAAAGTTTTTTACTGTTTTGTTAGAATTGTTTGTCTATATAGGCCTGTTGTCTACACGGAGTGATCTACTGCTTAGTCTCTACACCTTCAAAATACATACTACACAATAATCCAGTAACAATGAATAAACAATCTGCATATTTTAAAACACTTTCTGCCATAAACTCACCATTTTAGAAAACGTATTACACAATGTTATCACAAGAAATTTGAAGTATTTTTTTTTTATTACATAAATATCAAGAATGTGTAAATTCACAACTTGAGAATTAAAATGCTTCAAAACCCAATGAATTATTTATAATTACCTTGTGTTACTTTTTTGTGTGTAGGGAGAATAATTGTTATTATTCTCTCTAATGAAGCAGAGATGATGATTTTAAGATTAAAAAAAATATACCTTTTTTTTAATAATAATAAATTTTTTTTTTCTTTAACCTTCTGACTGGCGAGGGTTTTTGCTAAGAAAGTACAAATTTTCCCAAACTGCTATGGGGGGAAAAAAAAAAAAAAAAAAAAAGAAAAAAATTTTTTTTTTTTCTTTCTTGATTTTAATGTAAAAATTCTTCTGGTATTTTATACCTTGGTTTGTGTACTTTTAATATATTGCTTTAAATTCTTTGACATATTTTAATATGCACGTTCTTGCAGATACCATAATATATAGCCTTGCCAGTTAGAGGGCTGAGCAGCATCAACTTTTTATACTTTGAATATTAATATTTAAAAAATTGCATCAACTTATTGTTAATTAATTCACAATAAATTGCATCAACTTATTGTTAATTAATTCACAATAAATTGCATCAACTTATTGTTAATTAATTCACTGAATGCTAGATTTATAGGGCTCATTTCAGAAACATGTGCATTTTAAAATTGTCTTTCTTAAAGAATGATCAATGGTTTTATGATAATTATGTTCATTATTAGAATCTGATGAGTTATGAGGTAATAATCCATATCTTTTGCAAAATGCTTTTTTGCCCTATCTCATTAGTCATTTAGATGTATTATTAAATTGGTAAAAAATATCAAAATTAATAAACAACTTAGGTTAGTAAACTAAAATAGTAAAATAATACTGCAGTGCAAGATTTATATATATGCTTACTACTTTTTTTAAGTATCAACTTGTTTATGTTTGAAAAATAATAAGCAGTAATAAGAAAAAATAATAAGCAGTAATTTGGAGTGAATAATGAAGACACTTGATGAAGTATTGAAACACACTTTATTTAGCCAATATTAATCAGGACAGCTTCACGTGACGTTTTACAGTCATCGAAGATCTACTATAAACTCGCTGGAACAATCAGTGACACAGCCTTCCGGTTATCAGGCTATAATGGTGGAAACAGCTTCACTGCGAAGCACCAGAGTACAGCTCCCGACTCAGCTCGGTCGTTCTCGGAACTCTGGAGACTCTCCGTGATACAACTCGCGATGCACTCGACGACACACAGAGCACAGTTCCCGACTCTTCGGTTCACTCGTTCCCGGAGCTCAACATGCTCTCTCGATGCTGCTCTAACCACGATACATAAGAGACTCCTTCGATGGACTCGACGACGCACTTGGCACTCGCTGCCTGGCTGTTAACTCGATCGACTCCGTGCGGATCGACTGACTCGAGACAAATTATCTCGTACTAGACGAGGCACACTAACTGACTGTGGACCAGCAGGGTTTATATAGCTTTTGGCTTGTATTCGAGAACATTCTGGGGTAAACCGGTAGGAATTCGTTCTAGAAGGTTCTCCATCCGTCCATGGTATATCGGCAATTTTATTGCCAAATATAGCCAAATAAGCGATTCCTTGCCAGATGTGGCAACCCTGCCATCCCTTGCCATTTTATAGCAATCCTAAAACTGCTTTGCTGGGAAGCTATCTTACGGCACCTGTACGTTTCGTAACACTGCCCCCTCCCAAGGACTGCACGTCCTGGGCAGTATAACCTTTGGTCAGAAGCCAAGTTCGATACAAACAAAACATAATAAAACAAACAAGTACCATAATTAAAGAAACAAATATTTACACTATTTACAAGTTATATACACAAATTAAACACATAATAATTTTAAATTATACAAAGTTCAGAATGAATTACTGTCTTAGTCTTCTCATTAAGTTATACCCGGGTCAAATACTTTTCCACTGCAGTTCTCAGATGCATTTCTGTTTTGCATATCACAGTCTGAAGATTCAGTCCTTTCAGATTTTTCATCCACAGGAAGATCTGAAACAATTTGTTCACCACTCTGTAGTTCATTTGCAGCATGCATACAGCTAACCTTGGTATTTTTAGAAGATGCTATATGCTTATTTATCTCTATTTCCTGAAGTCAGTTCCAATGTTTACACCAGGGTCATGAATAAAATCCAATCCTTTACAAGCAGAAGTATCCAGGCTTAGAAAAATGTTCTTGTCTGCACAATCTGCACTATGAGACGCATACATACTTTGCAAAGTGAGTGAATTTTCTTGCAATACTGAAGCACTCTGCATAAGCTGTACATAAGTTTTTTCCATCTCAGCATCACATGAATTTTCAGATGGTTCAATACTTGCTAACTGCGACTTTGTAACTTCATTATAGTTTCTATGATCTTTTCACTTTCTTCTATCTCTACTTCAAGCACATGAGAATCAAAAATTTCTTTCTTGTCTTTCATTTCTTCATCTTTTTTATCTCTGTCTTTAATCTCGTTAGATGTTTCATCTTCTATTTCTTTATTTTTCTCAGACACTTTATCAGCTACTTCATTCATTTCTCCATCTTTCGATTCTTCAGATGCTACTTCTGTCATTTCCACATCTTCTTTTATGGCTCCAGTTTCTTTTGAAAGCTCCACTTTCATCTCTTGTTCTCGCACCTTTTCTTGGAACACATTTATTTCTTCTCATCAGGCTTTCTTCTCTTCCAGTCCGGCTTTCATCTTTTTCAATCCGGCTTTGATCTCAGCTCCCATCTGTTCATATCCTGCTTTCATCTCAGCCCTCATTATATCATATCTGGTTTTTATCTTGGCTAAAATGTCCATCAAAGTCTTCATCTCTTCCACCATGGCTTTCCTCTGCAGGCGGGTCACTGGCATTCACTCGCAAACCCCACTCCTGACACCAGTTGTTCCGTTATTTTCTTCCTTCACGTTCGTATGGGGTTCGTAGATTTGAAGTGAATAACGAAGACACTTGATGAAGTATCGAAACACACTTTATTTAGCCAATATTAATCAGGACAGTTCC